TTCTTCCTCTGCCTTTCCCTTTCTCCTATTCCTCTCCTTTCTCCTTTCCTTCCTATCTTTCCTTCCACCCCTTTTTTTAAAAATAGACATATTTTATCTGCTGTTTTGTGGGAGGAAACCCCAATCTGATCCCCCAAAGCGTCTCAATGTTTGGGATGTTTGTGGCCCATCAGCGGAGCTGGCAGCAGATTTGGACGGTGAGGAGGTTGGGGAGGAACATGGGTCAGTCGTGGAGTCTGGGGAAGGCTCGGACGAGGGTTCTGTGTCGGAGGCAGAGAGGGGGCCAGAGCCATCTGACAGTTATCTGACAGTGAATCTCAGAGACTCTGTGCCCAGCCTTTCCTTGCAGAGCACCTCATTTGGAAAATGTTGACATGGCATCTTTCCAAGCTAGATAAGGTCTGTGGTCATAAATACACCTTTGAAAGACTGTTTGCCAGGCCTTGGCTGGATGGGAATGAGAGGAATTCACGTTCGTTTAATAAAAGGGGTTTTGTCAGGACCAAGAATCTGCCTTGTGCTTTTTGGGGAAGCCTGGGTCAAAACAACGAAATATCCAGGTGCCCATTTTAGCCTCACCAAGCAAGTTAAGACTCATGAAATTCTAAAGCTGCAAGAGACCTTAGAGGTCTTCTAGTCCAACCCCCTGCTCAGCCTTCCCTTGCCTTGAGCCCCTTTTGGCACGTACCCCTTCTTGTCCATCTCCTCCACGTCCTCCACCCGCATGCCAAAAATGAACAGGTTTTGCTCGCCGGCTTCCTCCGCCATCTCCACATTGGCGCCATCCATGGTGCCAATGGTCAGAGCCCCGTTCAGCATAAACTTCATGTTCCCAGTTCCAGAAGCTTCGGTGCCGGCTGTCGAGATCTGCTCAGAGAGATCAGCTGCGGGGATCACTGCACGAAAAAAAGAAGAAGAGCCGGTGTGAATCAGATCAAGGAGACTAGACTAGAGAGTGTGTGCCAAAGATGCTTCTTCCAAAGTCAACTGTTTCTCCTTGGAAACGTTTTGCTTCCCATCCAAGAAGCTTCCTCAGTTCTGACTGAATGGTGAAGGATGGCAGGATTTATACTCCTTGCAGTCCTCTGGTTGTTGGTACTCTTCCTGAGAGTCGCTGTGGCCGCTTGGAGGTTTATCTGTGCCCTCAGGGTCACCTGAATTTTGCAAATGGGTGTGGAACCTTCTTCGAAAGCATTGTGTTGTAAACAACTGAACACACTGAAACTCCTTTCAGCAGTGCCAGGAAGGTTCCACACTCATTTGCACAATTCAGGTGACCCTGAGGGCACAGATTAGATATGACATTACAGCTTTATTGATTAGCCTATAGGCCAGTGTTTCTCAGCCTTGGCAACTTGAAGATGTCTGGACTTCAACTACCAGAATTCCCCAGCCAGCGCATGCTGGCTGGGGAATTCTGGT